GCTGCAGGAGGGGATGCAGATGCAGGAGGGGATGGGGCTGCAGGAGGAGATGCAGATACAGGAGGGGATGGGGCTGCAGGAGGAGATGCAGATACAGGAGGGAATGGGGCTGCAGGAGGGGACAGGGCTGCAGGAGGGGATGGGGCTGCAGGTGGGGATGGGGCTGCAGGAGGGGATGCAGATGCAGGAGGAGATGGGGCTGCAGGAGAGGGTGGGGATGCAGATGCAGGAGGGGATGGGGCTACAGGAGGAGATGCAGATATAGGAGGGGATGGGGCTGCAGGAGGGGATGGGGCTGCAGGAGGGGATGCAGACACAGGAGGGGGTGCCAGAGTGGGCATGGTTGCAGGAGGCGGCGGAGCTGCAGGAGGTGGCGGAGCTACAGGAGGGGATGGGAGGCAGGAGGGCATGGGTGTCTAAGTGTGTCTAAAGCCCAAGGCTGGCACTGCCTCTGGGCTTTCTTAGAGTCTCCCCCAGAATCTCAGCTTCAGAACCCATCAGACACCTTCCCTGTCCTAAGGGATTGGAAGCTGCCCTGAGCTTTGGCCGACTGAACCAGGCAATAGGGTGAAAGTGCACAGCTACCTTCCTGCCTGGCCCAGGGCCGGACACACAGTGGGGATCATGCATATCGCCAAGCTACATTAACACAAAGTGGAAGAATTAGAGACCAGGATGGAGCCGCCACACTCGCCCATCACAACCCTCTGGACCAAAGAGAATTGTGGATCATGAGAGGTGGGATCTCAGAGCTCTTAAGCATCCCCAGTCCTGGGAAGGGGAGCAGCTGTGTTCTCTCTCAGCCCTCCCTTAGCCGCAGGGAGCACGCTTCACTGCTGAGTAGACATCAGCAATAACACAGCCACATCTCTCAGACAGTGACTCACTGGGACTGGGCTCCCAGGCCAAACATCATGCCCTCTGAAGCCAATGCCTGGCACCCTGGCTGGAGAAACAGAAGGCAAAGATACGGCCCTGTCTGCTGCCTTCCTAGTCCACCGCCACCACCCTGCCCACCTGAAAACACAAGAAAACTTAGCTGGGACTCAGGAAGGGAACCCAAGGATGGTACAGTAATGACTTTCAGGCCCCAGGAAGGCTGACAACAATGTGCCCCGGCTTGGGGATCAAGACACTAGGCCCACCCCAAGGTATTTCCCAGGAAAACCTATCATTCCTCCTAGCCTCAGTTTCCCCAAGTTTGAGTGAAGGTGGAGAGATGACCTCTAAGAGCCTATCTGCACCATACCCTCTGCACCAGCACGGGGTTCTCATTGTCCCCTTCACGGTCTTGCCTGTTCCCGTCTCAGAGTCACTGCTCCTGTGCACAGGCACCATTCTGGCTCATTCCTCACCTACATGGCCCTCAAGCCCCAGGTCCACAAAGCTCTCTCTGACCACAGGGCAAGAAAAGTTCTCTCTGTCCCTGAGTCCTGACACCTACAAAGATGGCACAGTGCCTGCTATGGGTATAAAATCATCGCCTCCCTCAGGCAGGCTGTGAGCTCTCGGTACTGTGCCTGCCATCCTTCTGCTTGCTCCCCCTTTAACACGGTGCTCACCATACCCTGCAAATATAGACCAAATGAACATCATTTTTAAAAGAATACTAGGAGGATACCAATCAGTTACCCTTCCCTTTCACAAAGGCTCCAACACTGCAGCAAGAGAGAGTCGGGTCAGGCCTAAGGACCCTGCCTGCAGCAGCAACAGACAGGAACCTGAGGGCTGCAGGCTCTCCATCCCTAGAGATGTTTACGCGATACCTGAAACCCTCTGCCTTTGCTGACTGAGCTCGCCTTCCTGAGGACAGGCTCCAGCCCAGGGAATGAGCCTCTGGACCTGGAGGTAGCCACAGTTCTTACTGGATGTCTCGAGGGACCTCTCCACAGGCTCCAGTGAGGTGGATTTCTTCCTGCCCAGGTTCATTAGGTTGCTCAGTTTGAGGCCAGCGGAACATTTCTTCTTGACTGTCAAGATGAGACAGAAAGCAATTGGTACTGCAGGTGGTCCACCCATGTGCCCAAGAGAGATGGAAAAAATAGCAAATCCATTCCCACTACGTCCACCCATCCCTCTCCACTACAAATGTGCGCACGCACACACATCTCCCCAAACCGGGACCTGCAGGCCAGAGTTAGGTGTCTTTAAAGTCGCATACTCAAGAGGGGTACACAGACTTCTTATAGAATATGTAACCACTTGAGATCTTTACAGACTGTACTGGTGCAAAGCGATTTGTAATAGGGTAAGCAAACAAGAGAGATGAAGAACATTCTAGCCCCAGCATTTCGTGAAGCTGAACTTCAATTTGACCGTGTCTCCTTTTCTCCTGGAACTGTCAGCAGTAGTATTTCCAAGTAGTTTATTGATGGGAGGCCATGTTAGAATCAGCGGCTAAAACCCAATGGTGTTGAGCCCAACAGCCCAGGCTCCCAGCCTGGGACACCATTCCCCTCCCGACTCCAGGCTGTTACCGTCTTTGGTTTCTGGGACCTCAGGGTGGCCATCCATGGAGCTCCCACACTCTGAAGCTGACAGGTACTTCTCAGCTATATCTGGCTATGGACAAAAGAGACATGAATGGGGATCACTGGCTGGGAACAGGTACCTTGGAGACCACAATTTAAGGGAAAATACTAGATGGTTCTTGGTTGTAGGCCAGAGGTCAGCTGACCAAACCCCTGCCAGCCACCCAAATGGCAGAATCCAGGTCACTGGTAGGACATCGGCCCAGCTTCCAAATGGCTGCTCAATCTGATGTGACAGTGGCCCCTGTAGCCAGCAGGCAGGGCAAGCAGGCTGCCCAGGGGTGGCATTAGAGTTTGCATCCCCAACGACATTGACTGTCAAGCTAAACCACTCATACTGAGAGTGTGAAGAAGTCTCCTGAGAGCTGACTGTTCTAGCCACGTGGGCTGGCTCATTAGCACAGGGACCGTCCATGATCTGAGTCCTGGCCAGAGCATTTTGCTTGTAGGCCTGTGCCCAAGTTAAACGAGCCTCTCTGAGCCTCACTCTGCATGTGTGTCACAGAGGGATGACATCCCAGTCTGCTCACAGGGGTGTTGGGGACTAGAGATAATCCCTAGAAAAGTGTAGCTGCCGCTGCTGTTAGAACATGAAGGCCTCAGAATATTCTAATCAAGCTGCTTTGAGAGCGTCACAGACTCCAGATCTCTAGAAAACAAGCTGACAGCCTCCCATGCAACAGTTAATTGAACTGACTGGCCTTAGGCAGGGTCCAGGGCCAGCAGTCCCTGGCCAGGGAAGCACTGCGTGCTGAGTCTTTAGGGACAGCTCTTGTTTCTCGCCCCAATGTGAAGAAAACCCAGATTCATTCCAGCTTGTGTTTGCTTGTCAGTGGCCAAGGAATAAATGAGACAATGAAAAACTCCCCTCCTGAGTCACTCTGGAATCTGGAAGGACTGTGGGCTCTTTCTCCATGGTGGATGGCCTGTACCTTCTGGAGAATAAGCGGCCTCCATCCTGCTCAAGCCCCTGTGTGTCTCTTGCTTTCCTCCCTGCCAGGGGCGGGGACCCCAAGAGGAGCCACAGTGACCTTCTGGCTATTCTGTGTGCCCAGCCTTCAGCACGCCTACCTGCAGGTACTCGGGGACAGGAAATGTGACCCAACAGGTGACAATCCTCCCTTTGGCCAGAACCTAACTTAACTTCTTCAGCTTTGACCTTTAAGCCCAAAACTCCCCCCAAAGTACCCTGCAAATGATGCAGTCTTTTGGTTGCAATCAGCCTTGAGGCAGTGCCCCAAGTCCAGGGGCCCGACTGAGGAATAAGGGGGAAGGAAGTGCCTCATAAAATCAGTCTCCCTGCTTAAGAATGCAGGCCAAAGTGACTTTTGTTCAAACAAAGCTTCTCTGTCCCCCACCACCCGCCCACCCCCGGCACCCACAAGCAAGAAAATATTTTAAGTCTGTATCAGTTTCATCCATTTTCCTGCCAAGCTAGAGCTATTGCTCTTTTCCAAGCATTGTATGTTTCTTTTCTTCTTTTTTTTGAAATGGAGTCTCCCTCTGTGGCCCAGACTGGAGTGTAGTGGCACCATCTTGGCTCACCGCAACCTCCACCTTCTGGGTTCAAGTGATTCTCCTGCCTCAGCCTCCTGAGTAGCTGGGATTACAGGCACCCACCACCATGCCTGGCTAATTTTTGTATTTTTAGTAGAGACGGGGTTTTACCATGTTGGCCAGGCTGGTCTCAAACCCCTGACCTCAGGTGATCCACCTGCCTCGGCCTCCCAAAGTGCTGGGATTGCAGGCGTCAGCCACTGTGCATGGCCTCAAGCATTGTATGTTTCTTATTAATTAGACTGAAATATAAAAACCAAGCTCCCAATTTTATACTTTTAATTTTTAGGAGAAAGCATGGAAGGGGACTCTGCCTCCAGGCAGGACAGAGGCTTACTTTCTGGCAGTTAAAGCGCTGGGCATCCGGAGTATACTGGTTTCCTTCAGATGCACCTTCAGAAGGCAGGCCGCTCACTTCCTGGATGACCTGAGGTGAGAGGGAAGCTGTCAGCAGAAGCTGAGGTCCTCTGGCCAGCACTCACAGCCAGGCAGAAGCCACGTTCCTCCAGGTCAGTAGAGAGCAGATGAGGTGAGAGAGAAGATGCTGAATTTCCAAGGAAGAGGACCCACCCCCATCCCAGCTACAGCCCCAAGGCCTGCACATGGCCTTGAACCCAGCTCTGCAGGCTGCAGTGGGGAGGGCTGGTTGTGTAGGCTCCTTTCTGCAGGTCCCACACGTTCAGGGGCATGAGAGGGGGCCCTTGGCAGCAAAGGCCAAAGATGACCAGAGCCGCCAGCCCAGGGCTCCACGAGCCCCTTTCCTGTCACCATTCCGGGCAGGGCTACTGTGCTGATGTAGGTGTGATGAGCAACATCCCTGCTAGACAGTCCCCTGGATTCTCAGAGGTCACGCGACTCTCAGTGGAGTCTCTACGCTGCCTGAGGAGCAGGCCTGCAAACTGCCTTGTTCCAATGACCCACAGGCTCGCCGGACTTGCCTGCCACCACCCACCCACCCTTCCCTCTGGGAGGGGGCCGCTTCACTGGCTCCTTCATTGGACCAGTGGAGAAAGAGGGTCTCTCTGTAAAGGCTGGACACAGAGAGGCTATGCCTTCTGAAAGCGTTCTTGTCTTTGAAACCCCGAGCAGAGGCTACAGGGCAGGGGGTCTCAGGAAGAGGGCGTGAGAGTCTGGGGAGGGAGGCTGGGTCAGGGAGAGGGTGAGTGGGTTTGGGCAGTTGGAAGAATGGAGCCTGGGCTGGGGGCAGATGCAGAAAGTCAGCGGGGACTCTGACTATGTAAAGCAGTGCCTCGGTCTGAACCAGGGACACTCCCTTCTTCCTGGGGGAGCTCCCAGGGTGACCAGAAACACACTGCCCACCTGGAAGCCCTTTGGAGGTGCAGAATTAGTAAGAGTGATTTCAAAGATCCTCCTCTTCAGTCTATGTCTAGAGCAGTTTATGGAAATGGGTTTCAAATTGGAAGAGCCCCAAAACTCCAGTTCAGGACTGTGGTCCACACTAAATATGCAACACAGTGGCAAGGGAAGAGCGCAGGCACTAGAGCTGGCACCTGTGTGACACTGAGCCTGAGCCTCAGCCACTGCATCTGTAAGCTGGGACAATACTTCTGCTGCAAGCCGGCAGTGAGTGGCTGTGTGTCAAGTACCCAGCACAGGGCAGACACATCGACTGCCATCCCTATTAGCTTGGGCCAAATACACGGACGCCTCCACCCAGGGAAAGCACCATTAAGCCAGGAGTTCAGGAGTGGGGCAGGGGCAGGGGTGTCCTTCCCTGGAAAAGCCCTGCATTGTGCCTTCCTTTACTGGGACCCATGTTCCATAGTCAACATCCCCTGTTTACTGTCATATACCTGTCCCACCCTGGGCATGGGTGGGAATATGCAGAATTGGGACACAGAGGCCCAAGGAAGGTAGATGAGCTTCACAAACCCAACACAGCTAGGTGGAGAGCCCACTGGACAGGTGGACCAGACCCTACTCCCAAAGTGCAAAAGTGGGCAGCTTCTCAGAGCAGGCATTTCCAGCCAAGTCCACCTCTGCAATCATCTGACCGGAGGGAAAGGGTTTCTCTCTGAAGGCTGGACACAGAAAATCTGTGCCTTCTGAAAGCATTCCTGTCTTTGAAACCACCAGCAGAGGCTCTGGGGCCAGGGGTCTCTGGAAGAGGGCGTGGGAGTTTGGGGAGGGAGGCTAGAGGCCAGGGAAAGGGTCGGTGGATCTGAGCAGTCAGAGGAACAGCACTGGGAACTGGAAGCAAGAGCACAGAGTGTGTGCATATGCATGTGTGTGCATGTGTGTGCGCGTGTGTGTGCGTGCATGTGTGCGTGTGTATACATGCACAGACACTATGTATGCATGAACATAAGTGTATATAAATGTGCATTTGTCCATATGTGTACAAATGTATACATGAATGTGCATGTGTGCATATATGTGTGCAAATGAGTGTGTGTGTAGTGGGTGAGGATGGGGAGGGATAGGAGGCAGGAGACTGGGGTGAGAAACCAACAGCCCAGAGCTCTGGGTCCTAATCAGCTCTGCAGCCCAGGACAAGCCCCTACTCCCTCTGGGCCTCAGTGGTCTTATCTGTACTCTCCAAGTTTCACGAAGCACTCAGTATATACCAGGCACAGTGCTAAGCACTTTGTGCACATTAACGCATCCAGCCCCAAATCATTCAGTTAAAAAAGGGTGAAGCCATGCTCATTCGGTAGCACATATACTAAAATTGGAATGATACAGAGATTAGCATGGCCCCTGCGCAAGGATGACACACAAATTTGTGACGCATTCCATATATTTAAATGATAAAGGGGATAACACCATGGATTCCACAGAAATACAAACTACCATCAGAGATTACTACAAACAACTCTATGCACATAAGCTAGTAAACCTGGAAGAAATGGATAAATTCCTGGACACTTGCACCCTCCCAAGCCTAAATCAGAAAGAAGTCGAAACCCTGAATAGACCAGTAACAAGAGCTGAAGCTGAGGCAGCAATTAATAGCCTACCAACCAAAATAAGCCCAGGTCCAGATGGGTCCACAGCTGAATTCTACCAGACATACAAAGAAGAGCTGGTACCAACCTTTCTGAAATTGTTCCAAACAATTCAAAAAGGGGAATCCTTCCCAAATCATTTTATGAGACCAACATCATCCTGATACCAAAACCTGGCAGAGACTTAAGAAGAAAAGAAAACTTCAGGCCAATATCCATGATAAACATAGATGCAAAAATCTTCAATAAAATTCTGGCAAACCAATTGCAACAGCACATCAAAAAGCTTATCCATCACAATCAAGTAGGCTTCATCCCACCTTAAACTTCATATGGAACCAAAAAAGAGCCTGCATAGCCAAGTCAATTCTAAGCAAAAGGAACAAAGCTGGAGGCATCATGCTACCTGACTTCAAACTATACTACAAGGCTACAATAATCAAAACAGCATGGTACTGGCACCAAAACAGTGATATAGACCAATGGAACAGAACAGAGGTCTTGGAAGCAACACCACACATTTACAGCCATCTGATCTTTGACAAACCTGACAAAAACAAACAATGGGGAAAGGAGTCCCTGTTTAATAAATGGTGTTGGGAAAACTGGCTAGCCATGTGCAGAAAGCAGAAACTGGACCCCTTCCTGACACCTTACATTAAAATTAACTCCAGATGGATTAAAGACTTAAACATAAGACCTAACATCATAAAAACCCTAGAAGAAAATCTAGGCAAAAACATTCAGAACATAGGCATAGGCAAGGACTTCACGACTAAAACACCAAAAGCACTGACAAAAAGCCAAAATGGACACCTGGGATCTAATTAAACTCCACAGCTTCTGCACAGCAAAAGAAACAATTATTAGAGTGAACCAGCAACCAACAGAATGGGGAAAAAAGTTTTGCAATCTACCCATCTGACGAAGGGCTAATATGCAGAATCTACAAGGTTCTAAAACAGATTTATAAGAAAAAAACAAACAAACCCATTCAAAAGTAGGCAAAGGATATGAATAGACACTTTTCGAAAGAAGACATATGTGACGCCAACAAACATATGAAAAAATGCTCATCATCGCTGTTCATTAGAAAAATGCAAATTAAAACTACATTGAGATACTATCTCAAGACAGTTAGAATGGCGATCATTAAAAAATCTGGAGACAACAGATGCTGGAGAGGATGTGGAGAAATAGGAACACTTCTACACTGTTGGTGGGAGTGTAAATTAGTTCAACCATTGTGAAAGACAGTGTGGCGATTCCTCAAGGACTTAGAAATAGAAATCCCATTTGACCCAGCAATCCCATTACTGGGTATATATTCAAAGGATTATAAATCGTTCTTTTATAAAGACACACACACACACACACACATATGTTCACTGTGGCACTGTTTACAGTAGCAAAGACCTGAAACCAACCCAAATGCCCATCGATGATAGACTGGACAAGGAAAATGTGGCACATGTATACCATGGAATACTATGCAACCATAAAAAAATGATGAGGTCATGTCCTTTGTAGGGACATGGATGAATCTGGAAACCATCATTCTCAGCAAACTGACACAAGAAAAGAAAATCAAACACCGCATGTTCTCACTCATAGGCGGGTGTTGAATAATGAGAACACATGGACACAGGGAGGGGAGCATCACACACTGGGGTCTGTTTGGGGGGGACTAGAGGAGGGACAGCAGGGGGTAGGGAGGTTGGGGAGGGATAACATGGGGAGAAATGACAGATATAGGTGACAGGGATGGAGGCAGCAAACCACATTGCCATGTATGTACCTATGCAACAATCCTGCATGTTCTGCACATTTACCGCAGAACCTAAAGTGCAATAAACTGTATATATAAAAGAGGTGAAGGCAGGATTTGATCTCAGAGTCCTGGCTCTCAAATGCCCAGGGCTGGCCTTTCAGAGCTTGTTAGCTCTCTCAGGAACCCTACCCCACATGGAAATCTGTGAAGCCAAACCACAAACCTGTCTATGCAGTAGCCTTTCCTTTTCTATATAACACTGTCTTTCACCACTTGAAGATTTGCAATAAAGATTGAGATACCTGTCCACACCTTCTAGAAGCTTGGTTTGACCAGGCCTGAAATTTCCAAAAACAATTAGTGGGTTTACAAAAACATCCTGCCTGCTCCAAATCTAGGGTACTCAGCCCTATGGGTGGACCAGTGACTCGGGCAGGTATATTTTGGTCATGTTTTACCAAGGCGGTCAGATCTGTTTCTGACAGGCTCACCAAGGTGGTTATGTTTAGCTGGGGTGGCAGGTGGGGTGGGGTGTGGGGTGGATAGAATGCTCCTGTGCTAGAGCGGCTGTGATGGGAGACGGGGCAGCAGGAAGCAGGGGAAGGACCACTCTAGCTCTGGGGGTCCCTCTGGAACTGGGGATCCATTCCTGGTGCAAACCTTATACCTGCTGGAAGCATCAAGCCCATCTTCCACCTGGGGCAGGCAAGCCCCTTCCCCAGTGCCCCATTATCACCACACCGGGGAAGTGTGGGCCAAGTGGACCACATACGTTCGTGGTGGGAGGAGGCGCAGCACTGTGTCAGACAGTCCTAGGTCTGAGAACCAATGTGCCACCACTTGCCAGACAACTTTGATCCATCATCTTCACCCTTTGAGCCTTAATCCCACTCCTGTAAAATGGGGACATTCACATTCCCCAGCTATCCCCAGTGTGGTTTCGTGGGTTCAAGTTGCTAATAGTCCTTGGTCTATGGCAAATAGGTGGCAAGAAGCAGCAACATGTATTCTTCTTCAATAGGAGGTTGGGGATGCCTCACTAGAGGCAAAAAGGGAAATGGGTTTCCACTGCTCCCAAGTCCAGGCTACTGAGGATTCAGAGCTAGCAGCAGCTGCTGTAACCCACTTGCAGAAGACAAATCGCTACCACTTAGAACACGGGAAGCTCTGCAAACCTGAAGGATCACAAATCCTCTACCCCTGACCCTAACATGTGCCCCTTTAGAAAAGCTGGGAACCACAACTCTAGGAGCCCCTCCAAGTAGCCCGGTACCCCTCACCCTGAGCCACTGCTCGGCCTGGTCCTTGCTCTGCAGGCCCAGCACGATCACGTCGGCGTTCATAGGCGTGATCTTCAGCTTGTGCTCCTTCTTCCGCACTTGTTTCTCCTTGTGAATGACGCTGCTGCCCAGCAGGTTCACGTCCAGCTGAGGGCTGTGGTCCTTGGAGGATTTGTAGCACTGGAAGGAAAGAGGGAAGATCCACCACTTTGACAGGGATGCCAGGCGGAGGCGATGTCTGCAAAGGAGGGGCCACTGGATGCTGCAGGACCCCCCGAGAGCCTGACTTTACCCAGCAAGACCAAGAGGCTGGACACCCCAAGCAAGCCTGGAGCCCCAACCTCAAATATCAGAAACTCCTGTTTGTCACATCAGATTGTCCCTGTCTCCCTCAAGCCTCCTCCTCACCAGCCTCAGCCAAGGATACTCCAGGATGCTGCTATCCAAATGGCTCAAACTTGCCCCAGGCCTTGGTGGGGGGACCCTAAAATACCACCTCTGTGGACACCCTTCAGTTCTCCAAAGTGGAACAGATTTTCACCCTTTCTCCACCTCTCTGCATTGCTTGCTTGGCTTCTACAGTAAAGGATCCACAGGGCACAAAAACTAAGCTTCGTATCTGACGAGTTAGGAAGATGATGTGTTAACAAAGAAAGGAAGGACTCTCTTCCCCTACCAGAGAAAATACTTCGCCCCTTGGCTTCCCATTTGTAAAATGGGGGAAACCTTATAGGGTTGCTTAACAGGATTACCTGAAATAACATTAGCACAGAGCAGGACCCGTTGTAACCAGGCAAGAAAAGGTGTTTCTAATAATTCGTGGAATTTCAAATCAGGACATGCAACTGGGAATTTTAATTTAAAATATCAGGAAACAGGACTGTTGTCAGAGTAATATCTGGTTCCTTGATGGGTCTTGTCTTATAATCAGTAGTTTAAAATATTGTTGCTTCTGAAGATACCTACCATTCTCATGCTGCGGATAAAAACAGTAGCCGGAGCCAGGCATGGTGGCTCACGCCTGTAATCACAGCACTTTGGAAGGCTGAGGCAGGCGGATCATGAAGTCAGGAGTTCGAGACCAGCCTAACAAACATGGAGAAACCCTGTCTCTACTAAAAATACAGAAATTAGCCGGGTGTGGTGGTGGGTGCCTGTAATCCCAGCTACTCAGGAGGTTGAGGCAGGAGGATTGCTTGAACCCAGGAGGTGGAGGTTGCAGTGAGCTGAGATTTCACCACTGCACTCCAGCCAGAGCGACAGAGTGAGATTCAATCTCAAAAACAAAACAAAACAAAACAGTAGCCAGAATTGGGGCTGGGCTGCAGGAGCCTGACTGGACTCCGGTGGACAGGATGTGAAAACGGACCCGGGGACAGAAAGATGTGTGTGTCTCAAAAGAGGAGGATGGGACATGGACGGGGGAGGTGGTGGTGGTCACAGCCCCCTTTGAGAGCCTAATGAAACGACAAGACCTTTCTGGTTCAGAAAATGTACATTCATCCATGCACACAAAATCCTGCATACAATTTCAGGTTAGGGAGAAGTTAAAATCCCCTGATATAATCAAGCTTAAAACCCCCAGGGTCAGGGACCATCCTGTTCCTCCTTCCCTTTCCCTGCACCTCCCCTAAGGAGAGAAGCCGGGGACAAGACAGCATGAGGCAGACTGACCAGAAGCCTGGTGTCCTTGATGACACAGAGCTGCTTGGCCCACTGTCCCAGCCACTTCTTGCGCCACAGGAAGGCGCAGATGCGGGCGTCACGCATCAGCTCGATGCCAGCCTCCGGTGACGGCCATTGGTAGGGGGCCGACTTGCCCTTGCTGCCGTCCTCTTCGTCGTAGGACTCGTAGGAGCTGCTCACAGCCTCTCCGTCCTCTGCAAGAAAGACCAGCTCAGTCAGGGCCTCGTGGGGCAGGGGACGGTCCTGAAGCAGCAGCAGCCAGGCCACAGCTCCCGACTCTCCTGCCCTCAAAGCAGCCCCACAGCCACCAGCCAGATCCCAGAGCTGGCCTTCCTGCCCCCAAACCCTTCAGCGAGGCTTCTCGGATGCTGCTTCTGGCCACAAAACACAAATAACTTCAAACCAAAGTCTCTCCCTTTTCCTCCTCTCATCCTGTCACTCCCCACTCCACAGAAACCCTGAGAAGACGCTGGCCCGCAGACCAACTGTTTGCTCTTGACAAGGCCATTCTCCTCCTCGGGGCCTGGACTTCCTCGAGTGAGAGATGAAGGGTGTGGGGGTGGGGTGTTGCCAGGTTCTTCCAGGCCTGGCGTCTGGCATTCAAAGGGCTCAGGCGGAAGGGAGCGCCATCTGCGCACCACCTGAGCTGCGCGCGGCAGAGGCCTGTGAGGGCCGCTGGCCTGGCTGGACCTGAGGAAGGGGCTGTGGCTCCTCAGAAATAAAAGACCAAATAAACCACGGCAGGAAGTGCTTTCTGGGGAAGCAGCCACCTTCTTACTCCCAAATACCCTCTCCTCGCCATAGCCCTTTTTAAAACCTCCACAGACCCGGCTCGCTTCCCTCCCTGCTGAATACCTCCTGGCACAAATGTAGCTCCTTTACTCGTTTCTAACTTCAACCCTTCCTCTTTTGTTGTTTTGAAAGAATCCCAAAACTCATCAGAGCACAAATCATGCAGGATTCTATGTGCACCCCACCTGCCTCAGTTTCTATTTTCTGTCCCCACCACCCTGCAAGAGTTGTTCTGTTCCCAGGTCCCACTGCTCTATTCAAGGACAACAAAAACCGAGAAACAAAAATCAATCAGTCATTTCATCTATCGATTGATCTATCTACCTACCTAACATCTCCATCAATCCATCCATCCATCCCTGAAAAGCAGGGCATGGAGGAAAGGGAATCTCAGGGTTTCAGTCTGACCCCTGGCACAGGAATCCTATCATAACCTTGATGATCTGCCCAAATTTCCCAGGGAGGGCGCACCCCCTCCTGATCACTGGATACTCCCATTCCCAGGCAGCCCTATCTGTTAGGAAATGGGCCCAGCATCTATTTCCCTGACTTCTGCATGGCAGTCCTTGTTCTGTCCCCTTGAGTCAGGCTGAATGACACTCTGCCTTCATTCCCATGACATCTTTCAGAAGAGGACCAGCCCATGGGCCCCTAAATCTTGGCAGAAGAATCCAGAAGCCCTTTCTCCTAGCTGTAAATCTAGATTTTTACTAAGAAGCACATTTGAATTCAAATATAGAAAAATAGAATGAGGCCCCTGCAGTAGTCATTCTAGCAACGGTGACAATGAAAATGTGTTTTAATATTTCTAAAAACATTTTAAATATTTTAATATCAGTTTTCTTTAAAAGTCATGTGACATTACTCTTTACGGCTTAATGTAAAAGTATATAATTTATACCGATTAAATAAGACTGAAAATAGCAGTATTACCTAGAATGGAACACTGAACTCTTCGATTACAGGTGACAATGTAAATTAACACAGGCTTTTCAGAAAGCAGTCTGGCAGCCTGTTTCAAGAGCTATAAAAATGGCCATACTTTTTGATCCACTAATCCCAGTCCTGGAATTTTATCCTAGGAAACAAGTTTTTAAAAAAGAGAAGGAGCCAGGAGTGGTGGCTCATGCCTATCATTCTGGCACTCTGGGGTGCTGAGGCAGGTGGATCACTTGAGCTCAGGAGTTCGAGATCAGCCTGGGCAGCAAATTCCACCTCTACAAAAAACACAAAAATTAGCTGGGCATGGTGGTATGCACCTGTAGTCCCAGTTACTTGGGAGACTGAGGTGGGAGGATGGCTTGAGCCCAGGAGGTGAAGGTTGCAATGAACTGAGATTGTGCCACTGCACCCCAGCCTGCGCAACAGAGGGAGACCTTCTCTCAAAAAAAAGGAGGAGGTGGGGGAGGAATGTTACATGCATTAGGATATTCAAATGCTGTTTAGCAGTCAGCAGAAGGGGACTGTGTAAGTAAGGCATGATTTTACCCACTTAGGAACCTACCATGCAGCTGTAATCAATTAAAACTCTGAAAACTAGTGTGCAGCTCGATAAACTCCCTAAGGTGTGCTACGGGAGAAAGCACAGTTAGAACTGTACGTGCAATAGATCAGCACTGCAAGGCAACAGAGGAAAAAGCTAAACATCGTTGATTCCATGGGTGGTAGGATCAGGGCGATGTATACATTGTTTTCTATATTGTCAGTACTGCATTATCTGTATAATAAGTGACATTTAAAAAATGATACGATGTCATTGAGATTCTTCCTTCAGTAAATTAATGGAGGCCTACAGAGTTTAGGGTGAAGAATTTGGGTGAGTTCTCACTGTTCTGTGCTTCTGGGGTTGCCCTATGTGTTTCATGAAGAAATATAACATCTGCCCATCCTCCTCCATGGGAGTATTAGGAAGCTAAGAACAGCGAATCATCAACAGGACTAGGTATGAAAGAAAAAACATTGAGAATAAAAAAAAGAGAGAGAGAGACTGGGCATGGTGGCTCACACCTATAATCCCAGCACTTTGGGACGCCAAGGTGGACAGATCACTTAAGGTCAGGAGTTTGAGACCAGCCTGGCCAACATGGTGAAACCCTGTCTCTTCTAAAAATACAAAAACAATTATCTGGGTGTGGTGGTGCATGCCGGTAATCCCAGCTACTAGGGAGGCTGAGGCAGGAGAATTGCTTGAACTGGGAAGCGGACGTTGCAGTGAGCCGAGATTGTGCCACTGCACTCCAGCCTGGGTGACAGAGTAAGAGACTCTGTCTCAAAAAAAA